ATGCCTTCCTTTACTGCCACTGTGGACAGAATAGGCCACCAAGAAAAGCCAAAGGGACCAGTGAACACAGAGTCAACAGCCGCCACACCCTCAGTATCAAGCAACATAAACCCACTGCCACACAGACATCAACAGGAATCCCCACAAAGTACCCCGCTATCGACTGTGAGACGGTGGGTACGGGACCAAAGGGGAGCATCAGCCAGGGCCGCGTAGTTTTGAAATTCTTACAGTATCGTCCACCTCATATTTAAAACTAATTACTCTTTTATCTTTTGTTTTATACAAGTTGCTAAATACGATATCTTCATTGTCTTTTGTTACATCGGTTTCATTTTAATACTACGATGATAACGTCTCGGGTTACGTATGTAACCCTTGGTCCCTGAGAAGGGGAACGAGACACTTCGTCAGTGACGACACTATGGGAACGCCTCTGGGAATGGCAGGGCTGAACCATAAATGAAACTACTCCAATCCTATTGGTGTTGCTAGTACGGTAGCGTGTGACGGCATAACTGGAGGCGTATATAAGCACGCCGGCGCACCGGACACATTAGCTCTTTGCTATAAAGCAAGGCACTCCAGGCGGGGTGAGGTGTGGCAGACTGACGCAGTGTCTCGTTCCCCTTCTCGGGGAGACGTTCCCCTTCGAGGGAACTCAAACTGCGTCGGTAACAACACTAACCCCCGCCTGCCCCCAGCGTGCAGCACCCCGTAGGCACGACTAAGAGGAGAGCGCACACGTGCAGAAGGAAGGTCCAGACTTTAAAACAGGATGAAAGTGTGAGGAGTGGCCCAGCCAGCTGCTTCACACAAATCCTGGAGCGAAGCCCCTGAAAGGAGGGCCCTAGAAGCCGCCATGCCTCGAGTAGAGTGCGCCCTCACGGCCATAGGTGAAGGCAAACCGCGCACCTGATAGGCCAGGGAAATATTCTGAACGATCCCGAAACACTCCAGCAACTGGTCTGCTTTCCTCCACCGGAAAGACGTCTCCCGTCCTCCGCCGTCACATGAGGTGGGGCAAACTCCAGGCATCGTGGAGAAACCGAAAGTGCCTGGAGATCCCCCACCCTCCTCAGAGAGGTGATAGCGAGGAGAAAGGCCATCTTAAGGGTCAGGTGCTTGGCCTCAGCCGACTCCAGGGGTTCGAAGGGAGCCCCAGCCAACGCTTCGAGAACCACTGCCAGGTCCCAAGTGGGAACCCTGGAACGAGTCACGGGTCTCATCCTCCGGGCGCCCGACCAGTGGAAGCCTCCCCAGAACGCAGAAATGGCAGCCACATACACCTTGAGCGTGGACGAGGAAAGGCCAGCAGAGAAACGGTCCTGGAGGAACTCCTGTACCATAATCACCGGGCAGGTAACTGGGTCCACTGCCTGTCCTCTACAACAGGTGGCAGTTAAACACATTCCACTTCAGGCCGTACATCCTTCTCGTGTACGGGGCTCTGGAGCTGAGTAGCGTCTTGACTGCTCCTGCCGTCAGGCCCGCCTCCAGGAACTGCGCCCCCTCAGGGGCCAGACCCACAGCTGCCACAGGGCGAGGCACGGGTGAAAGACCCGGCCCTCCACCTGGGACAGCAGGCCTCTCCTCAGAGGGACCTGCCAGGGTGGGCCCTCCAGGAGTGATATTATGTCCGAGAACCACACTCGGGCCCGCCAAAAACGGTGCTACTAACAGTAGGCAGACACCGTCCTGATGGACCCGCTCCAGAACCCCCGGGAGCATAACAACTGGGGGAAAAGCATACGGACGCAGCCTCGGCCACGTCTGCACCATGGCATCCAGCCCTAGCGGGGCTGGGGGTGAGAGGGAGAACCACACTTGACTGTGCGTAGTCTCTTGAGACGCAAACAGGTCCACGTCTGTAGGGCCGAACCTTTCGCACAATAACTCCACCACCTCGGGGTTGAGTCTCCATTCCCCCAGGCCTCAGCCCGTCTCGACAGCAGGTCTGCTCCTTGATTCTGGGTCCCAGGGATATACATCGCTCTGAGACAGCAGTCTCTGCTGGGACCACAGGAGGATCTGATGCGCCAGTTTGCATAACGGGCACGAGCGCAGGTGGTAGTGGGCCCCGCCTACTCGAAACCTCAGGACCTCTTTCCCCGGGCCCGCCGTGACTGAATGATGGACCTCATATCCGTCTTCTCGGGGGGCTGTGGGCGAGAGCGCCGCCTCGCATCCCAGGTTTGTTGAGGGGGACCACAGGAAGCGACGCTTTGCTTCTGGTGGTAGGAGCTAGAAGGGGGCTGAGCTCGTCTCTCTTCAGCCGTCGCCGTCCTGGACCCAGACTGGCGGGGGAGATACTGCTCAAACGCCTCTCCCTGCATTTTGACATCCACTGACTCACCAAACAGGCCAGTAGTCGTCAGTGGCGCATCAAGGAGGAAAGCCTTTTCCTTCTCCTGGATGCCCGAGAGGTTGAGCCACAAATGGCACTATATCCTCCTTAGAGGGGCCCCCCTCATGGTCACATTCCTTTAGCAGATGGGCCTGGTATGCCTGTAGGATGGCTATAGTGTGCAGGCTTGCACCAGCTCAACCCGCCGCCATATAAGCCTTGCCCACCAGAGCGGATGCCAAACTGACATGTATATTAATGTTGGCTAAATCTCAAGGTTAGCTTAACATAGCACTTCAGCTGAAGTGTCAAAAGACACTTTTATTATCCCCACTACTTTGTGCAAAGTTATAATTTTGAACATTCATACCTAACAAAGTTGTAGTACATAAAATGTAAAGTGCCAATGTTTTACTTTTGAAGCAAAAAAATAAATAAAATTGTGCTCATTTCAGATTAGACTTTAACCACATGTGAACAGGAAGTTGACCATAGAACAAGAAGTCACACAGGGATAAGCTGTGTGATCGCTCAGGGATAATCTAAGAGTTTGTAAAGCCTGCTTTCTGAAAGCCTTGGTTGATTTATCCTAAGTATTGCCACATATTTAGACTGACTATTTTACCTTGCCAAAACATACGGAGCCATGGTGGGGGTTAATAAACTGAGAAAAAAATCCAAGATTCATGTATCAGATTTATAAGAACAGAAATCAGACAAAAAAATCTAAATCACTGGTGTTTTCTTCTGAATACCACCAATCACGGCAAAGTCTCTAAGGTGCATGATTATATAGCCTAGTGATTGTGGGCTAAACCAAAGTCCTTTTAGGCAAGTCATGCCACTCGGCCACCATCTTGGCAAAGCCTCTGGGCAGCTATTTCGGACTAACAAGACCAGGCTCCTGTCTAAATGAATGGGGAGAAAGCCAGATATACACTTTCACTGGTCACTGGGACATAAAAACTACATGAATAGAATCAGCATTTAAATCTGATAAAAATCGCTGAAAAAGCCAAATAAGGTTTAAAAAGCTTTTCCCAATTGGTTCTACTTCTCCTGCGCATGCATCACCACTTCCGCGCATGCAGTAGAAGTAAAACAGACCCTTACGTCAGTGGAACCCCATGATTGGCTTACATATGTTGATGTAGACGATTGGCTTTCTAGCGCCAACTTTACCATAGGGGAAAGTCCGTAATGGTAAAGTTTTATTGAGAATGTGATTGAGTAGCATGTCTCCTCCAAATGTCATGTCTCTGGCTAAACTCATCTATTTCCTCACTGCTAAATCTGATTGTGAAGTCTACCATAATTTTCCACTGCATACATAATACATGGCAGAGGTGATGTTGCAACCTTGCAAAGAGAAGCGATGTGGTTCCTTGAAAAATAAGAGAAGACTAAATCATGCCTGCATGTGTGCTGACTCAGCAGGGATGGTATTATATGTACTAAAAGTTCATCTACAGGAGAATATATAATTGAAAGCAAAACAGAATGAGAGCTTTACTGTATTATAGTCCATTACAGACTAGTTGTTTCCCTTTACATAAATTGATGTTTCCACTGATGCAGAAAAGGCAGACATCTGGCAGACATCATTTTAAACCAAACCACGTTTTCTTAACCCTAACCAAGTGGTAATTTTAACTTAAGCCATGGTCTAATCATAACCACCTTGTATATGTGCCTAACCTAACCAAACCTTAACCATTTTTGCAACGTCGCACTGTCAGTACGTGAGGCCATGGACCAATTTTTTTGTGTTTCATATAGAAGACATTCTTCTCTTGTTAACTGATCAGTTGGGGTTTTTTTGAGTCACAAGGCATTTCTAAGAAAACACCTCATTTGCATTTTTTAAAAAAAATGAATGAAAATACAGATGTCATATCTGAAGCCTACTCCTTACTTACAGTCAGCTCAGAACGAATGTATGTGTCCATGTAAACGTCCATATATGTGTGAATGAGATTATGTGTAAATTATTTTGTATGCACACATGCATTTATGTATGATATGTTCCAGCCTGTTCTTCTGCAATGGCTCAATGGCACCCGCCTGGAGATTTAGTGTCCACCAACTGTTTGCATCAAATCAATATCCCATCCATGCAAATTAAACATGTCTTAACTTCCTGTCTCTGTGTGTCAATAGACACACTGTGTGAAAGAAGCTGGCTGACAATAAGTGACTGTTTAATAGTGAGTTGAAATTAAACCTGCAAGGGTAGACTATTGTACCATGACTTCACTGCCCACATCAGTGGAGTGATGACATCTTGACTTCCAGTTATTACAAAAAGTATAACAGCCCCCTCTATGTTTAAACGTGTAATCACAGCTTAAAAGGCCTCATTTTAAACTCAATTGCACAGAAAGATGTGGTATTCTTATTTGAATCTCATAATTTCTTGCCATTCTTAATCCTCTTCATCCATTTTTGCATTTCTCTATGCATTTCTGCGTCATTATGCAAATGAGGAGGGGCTGTGTCACAGATACAGAAGATTAAAATGAATGGATAAATCAAGAGATATATACATTTGTCTCATTGTATAATTTGATTACTGCCTTCATTTATTTATGTACTTTATTTTAATCGGATGCTTATTTATTTAATGAGCATTTATTTATTTCTGTATTTATTTTCCTTGTCAGAATTGGTCCCCCATACAACAGGATCATTCACATTCATTAAACATTTTTTAGTTCTTTACTTTTCCCTCAGTAGAAATAGGTTAGCCACTCACAGTTTGTCTACCACTCTTTAATGTCTGCAACAAGGCAGTTGGTCTTCTTATTCTTGTTTTGCATGATAAATTATTTGCTATCAAGTTTATGAATAGTTTAAATGCTAAGAGAAAGATCTCCGACCTGTAAAAAACATGATCTTTTGTTTCTCAGCTAGCTCCTCGATAATTCCATACTCATGACTTCCAGGATGTTTTCCAGTTTTAAACTTTGTGTCTTTGAGTTTTTCCCAGTAATGATTCCAGTTTCCATATTTGTCTGCTCCATAACCAAACACACGGACCTGTTGGATAAGAAAAATAACAACAAAAACATCTATTAACTAACAGAATTACATAATGTATGTACATAATGAAACACTGCCTTTGCAACAAGTGCCACAACTTTCAAGATGTTAATTTTGTAATCACACTACATAAGCAGTACTGGCAGCGGGACTACTGAGTGGGCCACAGCATTCAAACTGAACTGTCTATCAAGCCAGTCAGGCCACAAGTCTGGGTTAGCCAATGCAGGTCTGGTTAAAACAGCAGAGCTCTTTGCTGGGGTGAATGCAGGATTCAATGGCAGTTTAAGGGAAGTTAAGTCTGAGTTAGAGAATAGTGTCACCTGTCTTTGGGCTTAGTCGATTTGTGATGGCACAGCCTGATAGCCATTGAAGGATTTAATTATAGGTCAAAACATAATTTACATCTACTTGTTGTTACAGCAACACTAGTGACATTCACAAGGATAATAATTAACTCACCTCGTCACAAATATGGAGGGCAAGAATCAAAGTCATAAAGCCAGTGGATGGATAACTGCCCTTCTTTTGCAGCCACATGTCATGAACATACCTCATGAAAGCTGGATTGATCACCATCACCTGTTATGAATCAGAATTAACCTTTACACTTATTTCTAGGAGCCACTGCCTTTGTAGCCAATAAAATGTGTTGTTGAATGCTTTCAAAATAATACTCACCAAATCCTTGTTAGCTTTGATATTTGACTTAACTGGCACATATGACCTGTTGAAAATACAACATTAAATAAAGGATACTGCTTTGTTTTGCTTTTTTTTCAGTAAAATGATATACTAGGCATTCCAAAACAAAACTAAAGCAGAGATGATTCTTAATTTATATGTTCCATTTCTGAACTCTAAGAACTTTTCAAGCTATTTAAACAATGAAAGTGGATGAGCCCCATTCATTCTCACAGGTTTTAGGCACCTCCTCTCCTGCTCCTACTTGCTCTCATGTTTGCTGGTCCCTATTGGCTCAAACTGGCATGGAAGCCTGTCCTTAACACACCCTCCAGGTTGAAAAGAAGTGCCCTTAAAGGCATTGAAAATGTACTAGAAATTCACATAGTGTGCTTATAGTACATGTAAGTCTATTTATTAAAAATATATTTGTACCACAGGAGTAAATACTATTGAGGTTTACTTTGTGGAAGTATATTGTTAAACAATTACACTTTAAGCGGGTTAAAAATATATTCATGCCAATTATGCTCCATTGTCCACTGCAATATATTTAAAATATTAATGTGATTGTCAAATGTTTTATGCCTGTTTTCTAGATTTTCAAAACCTATTTTTATAACATTTTAATATATTTTTCAAAAGCAGAGTATTTCTTATATAGCCTACACTTTTTTTCTTTTCTTCTCTTTTTTTATTAAAATTTTATTTAACCAAGTAAATAGCCAGTTGAGATCCCACGCTGACCTTGCCAAGAAGGTAGCAACACACATCTTTAATGTAAAAAAAAAAGTATGGTAATAAGCATACTTTAAATCATAATGTAGTTATACTGTTTGTAAACAGTAAACACATATACACAGGGGCAAAGTGTGCCCTCCTGCCCAGCCCGCTAGTGCAATGCAATCAATTTGACCAATCAGAATCAAGATTTTCTAATCGACGCCCCAATCACATTGCGTGAAAGTCAGGTTACTGTGTCAAGTTAACGTAGTGTTGAGAGGGAAGCTAATTTTGGCCTGAAAATTATGTTGTTTCCCAGGTTTGCTTTGTTTTACTTTCCCGACTCGGACATGGCAAAGGTGGACACCACAGACATAATAACAACTTAACACTAGAACCGCCAGGGTTCGTTGTATACCTAACCGCCATAGCGGGTAAAATTTACCCGCTATAAAAATGCCGTGATTTTGAGATTATTTCTGCTACATGTTGCTTCAACACATTTAGCACCTGGCGCTTATAGGTATGAATGCCCATTTTTTAAATCTGGCTTTACCTTGACATTTTTTAACAATAGGGGGTGCTACATAACACACTTTTAGGAAAAGTCAAAGACTGGGGGACTTGAATATTATATTGAAACAAAGATAGGGGAGACCGGGTGTAGCTACACTGGTCCCAAGAAATAATGGCCATGCATCATACAGATGTCTTTTGAAGATTTATTTTATGGCAACTCTCTCCTTCGTCAGCAGACACTGTGAAACTACAAGAAAATAATAAGACGTACAGCTTAAAACATTCATCTCACATTCACTTTAAAGCCTTTCAAGCTAGTGTCCACTGATAAACAGGCCCTAACACATTAACACAAGCGAAATGCAATGAAATCATACAATATAACCAAACATAAATATTGTCCACGTAAAGTACACCAACAAGTACCATACACAAAGGTAAACAAATGAAAGGCAATTACCGTGTGCGCCTCTTGAACCAAGTGCAGAATATGGTTATTTTGGGGCTTCATTTCGTTCCTCTGCATGCTCTGCTCTGCCTCCACATTGTCTCTTACCCATAATGCCATGGTTATGCCCTTATCTTAACTCTGTTCATGTGACCCATTTCCCATTACTCTCTGTTGTTCGTTGAAATAAACCTTATATAAAAGCACAACATTTTTAACAGTATTTAAATTAAAGACATATTTGTGAATGTTACCCCTTTTAACATCTTCACATGTTTTTCCTATTTTTAAATGGCTGTATGAACTCAAATATTCATGAACTTACACATACAAATATACAAAATAGACATTTCAATTAAACATGTCTTTGAGACAGTTACGGGTATGGTTGTAACATGGAGAGAGTTGTAATAACACCAATTCCACCAAATAGAGATAAGATAGGAGTTAGGTGATCATTTCAGTATTTACCTACTTCCTCCCCGATCAGGCATCAAGTCTGGAAACAGGCATATTCAGAATATATAGAGAAAAAACTGATTTTGAGATAAGAAAGTAAACCACTTCAAGCACTAACTGAAACTCTGAATAAGAATACACACACACACACACCTCATTTTAGTTAGACTTAAGGATGTACAGAGATGTTCTTTAATTAGGAACATTTTAGTAGTATTTATTAAGTATACTTTTAAGTAAGTTTATTCTATAGATAAATTTACATACACATACTGTTGATGCACGTGAGTCATCAGACAAAGTCTGTTACAGCAAGAGAGAAACATTGTTCTTTGATATCACTACCTGTTTTGGAAGCTTATCATATAGTGTGGCATCTATTTTTGATTTTTTTATGTGATTGTTACAACCTACCCAAGCATGTGTTACAACCTACCCCGCTATTGGGGTAGGTTGCAACAAGGGAACACATTGCATTTGACATCAACTCACGAGGCCTGTGATATTCTTGTAGAGGATTGAATTGGTGCCATTTGTAGTGAACAAATGTGGGTACTTTGTATAAAAATTTGAGAGTTCTAGCCAAAAAATTCAGTGAGTTATAGTTGCTGAAGCAAAAAGTGTTACAACCATACCCGGTCTTAAACCTAAACCTGTAGCCTGTTTTTTACTTACAGAGTAAAACCATAGCCTGATGTACAACTCCTCTACAACTATTCACAGTTGTCACAGCTTATAAACTACTGTAAGTCAACACACCCCCAGCCACCGTTAATAATTAACGCTGATGGCAGCCAGCGGGACTTAAATCATTAACTCAATCAACCACCACTAGTTTGGCAAGCACTAGTTTGGCAAGCACGCTCATCAGACTTTTCCTAAATATAAACATTGTTCACAACTCCTGCACCTCGAGTCCGACTCAAGTCTGAAGTATCAAGTCGAGTGTGAGGTCACTGTTTGTGCAGCTTAAGTCGGACTCGAGTCCGAGTCTCAAACTTGAGTCCGAGGCTCAATCTCGAGTCCCCGTCTCTGGCTAATGCTAGCTAACAGGTTGATTTATAACTTTAATAGTAATTTTCTGATATTTTTTAGGTGATATTAGTCAACTAGCATCTTCATAGCTTCATAATCTAGACAGCCACTTTCATCTGCCATAGAACCGGTGTTGAGACTAATGCGTTACAAAAGAAATGCAATTACAGTCATGTATTGCTTTTTGCTGTAACGCAGTAACGTTAATATAAGGCATTACAAGGTACAAGGTTGTTTATTTGTCATTAAACAGACAAAACTGCATAAAAAAACAAAACTTGTAGTTCCTTCATGCTACACACACACAGCATATAATTAAGTGCAAGCCTATATTAAAATATGGAAAGATATAAATCAAATCAAATAAAACAATATCTACTAATAAAATGTTGGTAATATTATAGCAGTTAAAATCTCAGTAATGCCCATTACAAAGCATTTTAAACCGAAATTAAGTGGTGTTTATTTTTATATACAATTCAAAAACACCACTAAACATTTTGCCACTGCAAAACATATCTTACCTACCTGTTGCTGGAATTTGATGGTTAAGAATGTAGGCAGGCCTGTGCATGCGTGTGTGAGTGCTCAATTCAGCTTTTGTACTGTTAAGATGACCAGTAAGGTCTTTATCACTGGTATGAGTATAAATGCAATTAATATGATGCTGTCTATACGCTAAAGAAGGGTCGCCTGGGAGCTGGAGCCAATCCCAGCAGACAACAGGCAAACACTGGACAGGTCGCCAGTCCATTGCAGGGCCACACATAGATAAACAACCAGTCACACTCACACTCACACCTAAGGACAATTTTAGGGACACCAATTAACCTAGTCTGCATGTCTTTGGACGGTGGGAGGAAGCTGGAGCACCTGGAGAAAACCCACGCAGACACTGGGAGAACATGTAAACTCCACACAGAAAGGCCGGGGCCCGAGACCTTCTTGCTGTGAGGCAAGTTGTCATTTTCGTACAAATTAATTTTAAAGTTTAGCTAATGCTAATATGAAGTATCAGCTAAGCATTTGTGTTAATCTAGTCAAAAGTGGATATCTTCCAAAGTTACACTGCTTTTAGAGATTTCACTTCACTGCAACCACGGATGGGGGAATCATTACAGTGACCAATATAACTCATTAATAACAGCGATGTCAACGTGTACACGGGTATGTGAGAATTGTTTTAAGATGCGCTTGAAATAATATTTATGTGTCCGGTAATGCCTGACCACACTATATAATAGCATGTGATGTTATATAAAATACTGCTCAACTTTATGTAAATTTACATGGTCATATATCATGTATTAAACTTTTAAAAGTTGAACCAACCCTTTGCCACATTTAACCAACTTAATGTTGGGCCCAGATGGGAGTCTGAATTTCCTGCCTTAGCTAAACAAAATCAAATAATGAATGATGAGAATGATTTGCTGTAAGAATCAGTGTTTAATCAAGATATGCAAATGAAGAACTAAACTAAACTAGGTGGTAGTACTGCCGTAACTGTGAATATTTTTTCTTTTAGGAGCTTTCTGGGATTGTTTTTTTTATCCAAGACCTCAACACTGATATTTGGAAAAGACACACTAGCCCGATCCACATTCACAGGGAAGTCTGGCATTCAAAGAGCCAGCTGGACCCTCAAAAGCTCAATGTGCTCATAGGTATGTCTGGCTCCTGCACACAATCACTGTTTTTGCTCTTTTCTTGTGAAAAATAAACAATATAAAAATAAATATTATTATAAAATATTGTTATACATGTAAGTAATTGGCTACTTTTGTACTTCACAAATTGACTGCTGTGTTAATGTGAAATGACATGTAGAGAGCACAGCTGTTAAGCAGGTCTTAATG